GGGCACTGCACGCTCCAGCTCTCTCATGGCATGGCCGGCTAGATGACTAAGATGGCTAGCTAAATCTGTTTTGTGAGTTTTTTGGCTGTTACTTGAGTAAGGTGTGGTGGTTTAGCCCCAGCCGGCAACAAAGAAGCAGGCGGCTGCTTGCCCGGTTCCCCCCCACGGTGGGATGGGGAGGAGAATTGGAAAAAAAGGCAAAATTCGTGGGTTGGGATAAAGACAGTTTAAGACAACAGCAAAGGAAAGAGGAAAACAATAACAATAAGACTGATAAAAGAATATGCAAAGTGAGGGAGACAAAGCGTCTTTGATATAGATATACACACAGACACACAGATACAACTCCCTCGGTCTCTGGGCCATCCCTCTCAAACGCCCGTTGGCTCCATTCAGCCCACGGCTTTGGGCTCCATCGCTCAGAGCAGCGTCTCGGGGCGGGAGAGACGGTGTGTGGTGCTGCACTGGTGCGTGATGGGTTCAGAGCTGGCGGCTGGTGTCCCTGCTGCGGCCCGTGCCCACGCTCTGCGGGCTGAAGACGGTGGTCTCGAGGAAGGTGGTGGGCGCCCGTTGCGGAAGCTGGTCCCTGTCCCGTCCCCGCTCGACATCGCTTATAACAACTGTAGTAGTGGTGCCATACAGTGGCAGCGTTATTTAGCAATTAATGTCGTGCAATTTAATTCATTGGCCATTCTCACCCAAAATGACATCCCCACGAGGTGCACATCAGACTTGGGCCTCCTTCCACATCACCACCTGTCCTGGTTCCAGCCGGGATGGGGTTGATTTCCCCCCGCAGCCGGCAGGGGACACAGGTATTCCATGCCGGGTGAGCCATGCCCAGGTTTGAGGGGGGAGCGAGCCGGGGGAGGGGGCAGCAAGTCGCGGCTCGGAGCGGGCTGCGGCGGTGCGGGTCCGGTCGGTGAGCGGAGGCGCTGTCATCGCGCTCGTCTGTTCCTTCCCCGCTGGTATTGGTCTTGTTTGCTCTTCCCTTTGCTCTTCTGTTCAACTGCCTTTAGCTCAAGCCACCAGTTTTTGGCCTTTTTCTGCCCGTTTTGCCCCCGGCTGTGGGAGTTGCGGGAGCGGCCGCGTGGCTCTTTGTTGCCGGCTGAGGCCAAACCAGGACAGGGGGAAAAAACAGATTTCCAAGAGGTTGTCAGCCCAGGGCTGGGGAAAAAAAAACCCAACAAACTAGCAAAGCTATGAATTTTGGGGGGATTTCAAAAAATGAAACACACACAACCCCCCACCCCAGATGACACACACGCATCCACACACAAAAACTACCTCAGGTTTTCGTACCTCAGCAGCTTGCGCTTTGTTTAAAAAAGGGTGGACGTGGTACTTGGGGACGTGGTTTAGAGGTGGTTTTGTCAGGTTGGGTTAATGCTTGGACTTGATGATCTTAAACGTCCCTTCCGACCTCTATGATTTGATGATTCTATGACCGCTGAAGAGGGCACATCGCTTCTCATTTTCTGGCAGTTTATTATATGATGGGGCCCCTTCCGCACGCGTCACCTCCTGCTCTGGCGGTATTCTGAAAACTGCCTTCTGGCCGATCCATGGTCACCTCCAGAATTCCCGGGTGACTGGGGTTTCCCGTGGGAGCCACTGTGTGACCACTGCGCCCCGCTGACTCCACGCAGCATCCGTCGCACGGCGTGCAGAGGGGACCCTCCCGTTGAACGTCTGGCCCCGCACCGGCCGTCGCGGTGTCCGGAGGGGCTGTGCCTCTGTACCAACCGCTGCCGAAACACCCTGAACCCTTCACGTGCTGCCAATGTCCCGTCTTCAGTTGGAGCGTAGGGTGCCTCAGACCCTCGGCATCCCTGACCCCAAAACCCCACGGGGCGACCTCGAGCCTCCCCTGGTGCTTCCCGCCAGAGGCTCCGGGTAGGGCCGTTCTCCCCGGCTGTGGGGTAGAGCACATTTCAACATCTTATCCTGCCCGGACGGACCCCACAGCTGCTGCGGGAACTGGTTCATGTTTAATTTGGTCAAAGGATTGTCCTTGCTCAGGGCCCCACGTGAAATCCTTCTTCTTCGGGGTCACCGGACGGAGAGGGCTCACGGTCAGATGGGGAACACGCTTCCCGCCGACAGCAGGAGAGCGTCGAGGACGGGGACGGTGGCGGCGATGGATGGGGCGGTTTTGGCTCCGGGCAGGAGGGGGTGCACACACGGAGGGGGGGGGATGTCCCGGTCTCGGCGGGGACAGGGTTAATGCCGAGAAGGGGGTGGGAAAAGCAGAGCTG